CTGGATGCTGATGGTATCCACTTTGAGCACTTCTTGTAATTGCAGAAGTCAAACGACTTGTATTCATCTTTAGTTATCAGTATATATTATTACAATTTTAATACAGTTTTATTTTTTTAATATGTGTATACATTTTTTTGGCACCCTCTGTATATATGAATTAAGAAAATAATGCACAACATAATTAGGAAAGTTTGGGTGAAAGCATGAACAAGTAGTTTACAGAATAAATGCAGATAGGCAGTAAACATAACAAAACACATTGGCCATGTTAAAAAACAGGAAAAGGCATGTGAATCTATTATTTCCTTGTAAGATCCCAAAGATGGAATAGAAAGAAAAGGCCACCATGGGTAGAGTGTGGAAATACATATTTGCTTCTGCATTGATGATGGGGTGGATAGGAGAGCCTCCCAGAGAGCAACATTTCAGCACATTTAAAGCTCAGAGTTAGTGAATGTCCCCTTGATCCATCAATTAACCAAGATCACAAAGTGTATATATGTATGTATATATATATAAAGTGTTTTAAATTACAGTGTTTTTGAAAGGAGGAGAAAATAAAAAAAACAACCTAGATCTCTAATGATAGGATATCAGTTAGAAAAATTATGGTATAGTCATATAACAGGGTAAGAGGCAGCTACTAAAATTAACTTATAGAAATCTATTTATTGTCATGAAAAAATGTTGACTGCACATTTTACTGGAAAAATTAAGTTATAAAATAGCTCTGTAGCATGAAGTTATTTTAAAATAAATTGTAACATCAAGAAAATTAAAAAGTCTATAAAAAGTATACACCATGTTAGCTGCACACTCAAGGATGGACTTTTTCCCCCCATTTGACCTGTCTATATCCTGTCTCTTTCTCTCTCTCTACTAAGCAAATGTAACTTTTGCAATATAAAAATAAAAACTGCATATTTTTAAAATAGAGTGCATGCATCTAAATGATTAGTATCTCTTATCACCTTGGGAAATTATAAAATCTAATGATTTGGTATAAAAATACTATTGCGCCTCTTTACTAGAATCATATTGCATACTGAAAAAGGATCAGTTTTCATCAGTCTTGCTAAGATGGCACTTTAGGTGTTCTTATTTCCTGTATTTTCTTGCAAGAAGTCCTCAAACACTTGAGTAACTTATGTAGTAAGTACCTGTCCCTAAGAGTGAAAAGAATATTTTTGGAACCTGCTTAAGAATGAGAAGTTGTAATAATAAAACCATCACTAAGAACTGTTGGTAAGATCTACATATATTTTCAAGGTCATATATTGTTTTCCTTATAAATGTAAGTGTAAAACTGTAGTGACTTTGTTAATTTAACATTTATAAAGTAGAGCCCCAGGGGATTGAATGTGAGCCACAGTTCAAGAAAGACCACAAGAGAATTGAAATAGAAAAGTGTATTACTCACAGATCCTGGAGAAAGTACAAAACATGCCTCATGCCTCGAGGGGCCACGTGAGGAGTTCAAGGAAGGGTGCAGGCAGAGAAAGAAAAGACCTGGGGCACATATTAACCATCATGTGTAGAGTGCATTGGGGTTCTCAGGCTAAGGCCAAATTGGTCAGTTAAACCCCCAAAGATAGGGTTTTGGTAAGCTCTGTGGGGGTCTTTTTAAGGGGTGCACAGGGCAAACTGTTGATCATAGGGATGTTTGGGAAGTCATGTCAGGAAGTTACTTACATTTACTTGTGACTCTGGCTGCTATCTAGGACATGTATATATGTATGATGGGGCTAGCGTCAGTTTAAGGTCCCTGCAGGCCACTTGGCCAAACAAAATGTTTGCCGAAGCAGCAATACCATGGAGTAGCTGAGCTAAGATCTTGACCACAACTATTTAGATATTTTTTTAAAAATATGCTTTACATTGTTTAAATTTAAAGAATGAATGTAAAGGGATTGTGAAAAAAGTGGCAATGTAGGAGAACCCAGCTTCCTTTTACCCCCATCAAAAGCAACACTAGGCAGTTATCTGGTAACATAAACAGCTATGGGAGACCTCTAGAATCCACTTGGGAAGTTTTAGTCATGCCATAGAACAGAACACTGAGATAACTGCACAAGAAGAGAAGGAAGACAACTTTATTTTGTCTGCATCCCCCACCCCGCAAGTGGCATTGCTCGTCCCTGAGAAGGAACTTCTCAACTAGAAAGAACTCTGCTCTCCAGGAAAGGAAGAACAAGGTGAGTGACCTGCTTCTCCAGCTTCTCAGGGCATTTCACAAAGGCTCCAGTTAGGTTACACCCCACCCAGGCTGGCAAAGCTGAGACATATTGAGCTGGCTAGGAACACAAAAGAAAAGCAGAGGGTATTATTAGCAGAAATGCAGTAAGAGCAATTGTGGTTCAGAGACCTGCTCTGCAGACAGACTCAGCAGATTTTGCCACTGACAAAGCCAATGGCCAGCGCAGCCACTGTGAACTCTCTGCAGCAATCACCAGCTCTTGCCCCACAGTTACTCATGTTTGCTGATGCCAGCCACCTCAGTCTTTCCCCACTTCCTACACCCCTACCCCCTCTGGAGCCCATGACTGTGACCAGCAGCCAACCAAGGTCTCTGAAGCTGTGCATGAGTAAGCCATCAGCTGCCTGTGTCCCTCCCCACCCCCATCAGAGCCCAGGAGCCACACTAGCAGCCAGCTCAGGTTTCCGCAGCTGAAGGAATGCAAAACACCAGCCAAGGCCTCCATGGCTGACCTCCACTATTAGGCCCATGCATAGGACTAGCCTTCCAGCTGTGCATCTGCACACAAAAGCCTGGTGGCCCTCATCAGTCTCCACTGCAGCACTCAAGCCAGAAGTGGGGAGGGTGCAAGAGCATGTGCAGCCAAGGGAGAGCACACTGACAGCTAGGGCCTCCACAGTTGCTAGAGAGCCCTGATCAGGCCCTGCATTCTGTCACTGGCTGGCACCACCACAACCTCCTATTCTTATCTTTCTTGCTGTTTATCTGCATGCTCCCAGCTCAATCCCTGTCACTAGCTTCCACTGTGGTATGCATGCCTGGGTGAAAGTGTGGAGCCACACCAACAGCCAAGGCCTCTGATATGCCAGTGAACCCAGTTTGTCTTGAAGCTCACTACCTGACCTGGAACCCATCACTATGATTGTGTGTGCAACTGGCCCCTGCCACTACATGGACACATGGAGCAGGACCCTGCAGCCAATTGTGTGCACCCACTGGCTACAGCCACCATCACTGCCTTCCCCGGTCTCTAGCTACTGGCCTGGAGGCCTCATTTAAGACCCCAGCAGCCCTTGCAGCAATGGCGGACTCCCTACAATGCTCACTAAAGGTCACACAGTTGTTGATGCTCTGGACTTTAGTAACCTGAGTGGAAGAGACATCACTCCACCCCAGATCTTGTGGCACAATGTGCCCCAATTTGGTACCCTGAAGTAGACCTGCATAATCCAGCATGTCCTCACCCACAAGTGAAAGGTCTCCCTTATTTAAATCAGCCATAAAATCTGGAAGAAGTGACTACTTCTTTAAATGTGCAGAAACATATGCAAGGCTACAGAGATCATGAAGAATCAGGAAACATGTTTCCACCAAAGGAATATAGAAGGCCTCCAGTAACTGGCCTCAAAGAAGTGGTGTTCCAAGAATTTAAGTATTTCATGACAGAATGCAAAATAATTGTTCTACAAGTGCATAGGGATCTACCAAAGAACACAGATAAACAATTTTATAACATTAGGAAAACAGTACAAGAATAAAATGAGTTCAGCAAAGAGATAGAAAACATAAACAAAAACAAACACCAAACAAAAATTTTGGAACTGAATAATACAGAGTCTGAACTGAAGAATTCAATAAAGAGTTGCAACAGCAGATGTAAGCAAGCAGATGAACCAATCATCAAGCTAAAGGACAGATCAACTGAAATTATCCAATCAGAGAAGCAACAAGAGAAAATAATTAAAAAGAATAAAGAAGTATGGGACACCACCAAATGAAATCATGCATGCATCATTGGAGTCCCAGAAGAAGAAAAGAGGAAGAAAGGGGTAGGAAACTTATTTAAAGTAATAATAGCTAAAACTTCTCAAACGTAGGGAGAAATGTGGACATTCAATTTCGTGAAGCTAATGAGTAACCAAAAATTTCAATCCGAAATGATCATCTCCAAGACACATTATAATAAAATTGTCTAAAACCAAAGACAAAGAAAGAATTTTAAAAGCAGCAAGATGAAAAATGCTTCTTTCATAAAAGGGAATGTCCAAAAGGCTATAAATGGATTTCTCAGCACAAAATTTGCAGACCAGGAGAGAATGAAATGATATATTCAAAGTGCTAAATGAGGAACCTGCCAACCAAGAATACCCAGCAAAGTTGTTCTTTGGAATTAAATGTTACATAAAGAATTTTCCTAACAAAAGCTAAGGAAATACATCACAACCTAAATTGCCTTACAAGAAATACTGAAAGGAGTTCTTCAAATTGAAACAAAAGGATGACAATTACTGACATGAAAATATATGAAAACATACAACACACTGATAAAGAGCATATGGTAATAATCAGAATACCCTAATACTGTAATTTGGTGATGTGACAACTACCTCATTCTAGTATAATTGTTAAAGACAAAGTATTACAAATACCTATAGCTTCAACAATATGTTAATGGTATACAATATAAAAGATATAAATGTTGACATCAAAAACATAAAAGAAGGATGTAAAAGGATAGAGTTTTTGTATTAGATTGAAGTTATATCAACTTCAATATATATATATAGACTTCATGGGAACCACAAATCAAAAATTTACAATAGATACACAAAAGATAAAGAGAAGGGGAATCAAAACATACCACTACAGAAAATCATCAATTTACATAAGAAGGGAGCAGAAAAGAGAGAAAAGAAAAATGGAACCACAAAACAGTCAGAAAACAATAAGATGGCATTATTAATATACCTATCAATAATTACTGTAAATAATAGTCAATTGAGAGTCTGTCCGGAGCAGCATGGCTTTCCTCCTCCTCGTCCTCATCATGCAGGTTGTGAGCAGGGCTGAGATCAGCGCCGCGGATCCGGAGCTGTCCTTGGTGAGCTTCATAATTCCTCGTTCAGAGAAGGACCTGTCTGTATTTGCAAAAAGTTGAACAAGGTGCTTATTTACGGCCTCATCTGAATTGACGGTTATACCACACAAGGAGTTTTGAAGAGAGCGAAATAAGTGGAAGTGTGGTAGTGCAAGTGCCTGTACCAACCAATATTAAAATTGAGGCCTATAACTTGAATTCTGACATACTTTGGGATTACCCAGAAATGCTAGAGACACCTGTTTTTACTGTATAGGTAAAGACATACGGGAAGGGACTATGGATTAATGCCTGCAATACCTCTCATTATAATTGTAATATATTTTCCATGACTGATGATCTTTCAAGTGGTCTATGGTCCAGAGTTAAAGATAGGCTTGGACAGGAAGAATATGCCTATGTAGAGTCAAAAGAATTTATTTTGTGCAGAGAAGGGAAAGTTGGACCACCTAACCTGGATGTCAGACAGGAGGAAAACCAAATCATTATTGATATATTTCATCCTTTAGTTGTTGTAGATGGAAAAGAGCTGGCAGCCATATATGATGAAGAAAATACTTGTTATTCATTCATATACAAGTGTATGAGAGAATAAGTGGAAGTGAGACCACACACACACATAACACAAATCAGGAAGATGATTGCAACGAGACTCATTGCCACCTAAGTATTTCAGTGTCCTCACTGAATGCTGAGCACTGTATTACAGCAGACGGGTTCTCAGAGAGATGGCACGTTACAACTGAAAAATCCAAAGAAGTCTGTATTACCACTCGCAGTCATGAGAGCATTGCAGATTCTGTTTGGATTCCAGCTGGTGCCACTATCCTAATCTTTGTAGTATTTAGCCTGGTAGTTCTATGTTGTAACATTAAGAATATGAATTCATGTAAGAAAGAAAACATCATGTTACCCAAGTCATTGCTGTCTGTTGTAAAAAATTCCTCTTCAAAGGCAAAATCGGAATCAAAATATGTATCACCTGCCACGTATGAAGCAATTGTCCCTGAAAATGAGAAGGTGGTCTGGGAAGAGCTGTTGTCACCAGCAACCATTTCAAGTACGCATACTGAGGACAATCCAGCAAAAGTAGAAGACAGATCTAGTGAAACAGAAGTGGTGACCATTGAAGAAAATACTTCTGACATGGTCCCTGGCAGCCCCCTGACTCCAGCCATCAGAGAGGATTATGTCCACTCAAGTAGTAACCAGTCTGAACCCGGCAGCGTTGCTCTAAACTCTTATCACTCCAGAATTGGTTCTCATAGTGGCCTTCAAGAATCGGACAGCTTATCTGACTCAGAATTTCCTCCAAATACTAGCACTGAAATAAAGACAGGAGGACAGGAATCTGGCCTGCTGAGAAATGCTACCACCTCCTTTGGGTATGATAAACCACACGTGTTAGTGGATCTGCTCGTGGACGAAGGTGGTTACAGAGCCACAGCTGATTCCAAAGAGTTTTCATAAGATCAGCTAACTTGAAGGATCTGCTTGTCCTGAACAGTTTTCTGCTTCGTTTTCATGAAAAGATCACGTTTTCAGAAATGGTATCTCCATTGATATTAACCAAATGCAGTACCTTGATTTAGGTAAAAGTGTAAAGAGCCTGTTTGGCACTGTTGCATGTGGCCTGAAAATGGCAAAGACTTTTTAAAAAACAAACAACTGTTGTCGCATATGAACCTTTCCATATAGATAGGTTAGCAGTACCAGTGAAAATGCTCTAATAACTCTGCTTCCTGTGATAGTGGGTGATACCCCAGGGTCCTTTCTAACCACTTCAGGAGATAAATTGGACTTTTTCTTTTCTATGCCTCCATATGTCTTGGTTTTTTTGTGAGGTTTTTTTGGTAAACTTATGTATATAGCATTTTTAAATGATCACCTTCAGAAAAAAATCCTGAAAGCTTTTCAAATTGCATTTAAACCAATAGAATTAATAAAGAATATGTAACTAGAAACGTATATATTTTTTACGGGACATTGCTTTAAAATTTTTAAATAAAGAATTTTTTAAATTAAAAAAATAGTTAATTGAAATGACTAATCAAAAGCCATACAATGACTTTCTGGATAAAAAAATAAGACCCGACTACATGCTGTCCACCAGAGACTCAGTTCAGGTTTTAGGATACATATAGCCTCAAAGTGAAGGGAGGGCAAAAGATCTTCCATAAAAGTGGAAACCAAAAGAGAGCAAACAAAATAGTCTTTAAACCAAAAATGGCACAAGAGACAAAGATGGTCACTATATAAATATGAGAGGGTCAATTCATCAAGAAGATATAACAATTATAAATATACACTCATATGAACCTAACATCAAAGCATCTAAATGTCTTAAGCAAATACTAACAAACCTGAAAAAGCAAATGGACAATACAAAAATAGTAGGGATCTTTCAATAATTGATAGATCATGCAGGCAGAAAATCAAGGAAACATTCGATTTAAACCATACTTGAGACAAAATGGAACTAACAAATACATATAGAGTATTCCATCCAACAGCAGCAGAATACACATTCTTCTCAAGTGCACATGAAACATTCTCCAGGATAGATCACATGGCAGTTCATAAAACAAGATTTCACAAATTTATGAAGATTGAACTCACCTTAGATAACTTTTCTGAACACAATGATATGTAACTAGAAATCAATAACAGGAGAAAAGCTGGAAAATTCACTGATATTTGGAGTTGAAACAACATGCTCCTGAACGATGAGTCAAAGAAGAAATCAAAGGGAAATCAAGAAATACCTTGAAACAAATGAAAATGGAAGCCCAACATATCAAAACCTATCGTATGCTGCAAAAAATGGTTTTAAGAGGGGAGTTTATAGCTATAAATCCTACATTAAGAAATAAGGAAGACCTTAAATAAACAACCTAAATTTACACCTAAGGTACCTAAAAATAAACAAGAACTAAGACCAAAGTTAGCAGAAGCAAGGAATAACAAAGATCAGAACAGAAACACCACTTTGAACAATAATACCCAACAAACTGACAAACCTAAGAAAAAATGGATAAATTTCTATAAACATACAATTTATCGAGTTTGAATTAGTAAGAAAAAAAAGTCTGAACAGACCTATAACAAATTGGGAGATTAAATCAGTCATAAAAACCTCCCAACAAAGAAACCCCCAGGATCAGATGGTTTTACTGGTGAATTCTACCAGACATGTAAAGAAAAATTAACACTGATTCTTCTCAAACTCTTCCAAAAAAATTAAATAGGAAGGAACACTTTCAAACTCATTTTACAAAGCCAGTATTACCATGATACCAAAGCCAGATTAGGACATTACAAGTAAAGAAAATTACAGATTAATATCCCTGATAAATACAGATGCAAAAATTCTCCATCAAATTATTAGCCATCAGAACTCAATAACACATTAATAGGATCATTAACCATGACCAAGTGGGATTTAACCCTGGGATGCAAGAATGGTTCAACATATACAAGTCAATAAATGCAATAAATGTGATACATCACATGAATAGAATGAAAAATAAAAATTGTATGATCATCTCAATAGATGCAGAAAAAAGGCTTGACAAAATACAATATTCTTTCAGGATAAAAATGTTCAACAAAGTGGATATAGAAGGAACATACCTCAATACAGTGAAGGCTATATATGGCAAGCCCACAGCTAACATCATACCCAATGGTGAAGTCTTGAAAGCCTCCCATTAAAATCAGGCACAAAACAAGTGGGCCCAATCTTGCTGCTCTTATTTATCATAGCACTGGAGATCCTAACTAAAGCAATCTGGCAAGAAAAAGAAATAAAAGGCATTCAAATAAAAATAGAAGAAGTAAAACTGTCATTGTTTTCAGATGGTATGATCCTATATAGAGAGAAAATCCTAAAAAATCCACCCCCAAAAAAGTGCTAGAACTAATCAACAAATTCAGTAAAGTTGCAGGACTCAAAATCAACGTACAAAATCAGTTGCATTTCTATATTCAAATAACAGAACATCTGAAAATGAAATAAACTGTCCCATTCACAATAGCATCAGAAACAATAAAATACTTGGGAATCAATTTAACCAAGGAGTCCAAAGATCTGTACTCTGAAAACTATAAGACTTTGATGAAATTAAGGAACGCAAAAAAAATAAAAAGATATCCCATGTTTATAGATTGAAAGAACTAATATTGTTTAAAATATCCACATTACATAAAGCAGTCTATAAATTCAATGCACTCACTATCAAAAGTAATTAGGCATTTTTCACAGAAATAGAAAAAAAAATCCTAAAATTTTTATGCAGCCACAAAAAGACCCTACTAGCCAAAGCAATCCTGAGAAAGTAGAACAAAGTCAGAAGCATCATCATGCTTCTTGATTTCAAACTATATTACAAAGCTGTAGTAATCACAATATGGTTCTGGTGTAAAAATTGACACATATACCAATGGAACAGAATTGAGAGCCCAGAAATAAACCCCTGCATACATGCTCAACTAACATTTGACAGGGGAGCCAAGAATACTTACTGAAGAAAAGAAAATTTCCTTAACAAATGGTGTTGGAAAACTGGATAACTGCATGCAGATGAATGAAATTAGATTCCTGAGTCATAGTACTCAAAAAAATTAACTCAAAGTGGATTGTAGACTTAAACATAAGTCCCAAAACTATACAATTCCTAGAAAAAAACATAGGGAAATATATCCTTCATAGTAGTCTTGGCAGTGGTTTTCTGGATTTAACACTAAAAACACAAGCAACAAAAGTAAAAATAAATGAGTGGCACTACATCACACTAAAAAGACCTTCAATGAGCAAAAGAAACAATCAAAATGAAAAACAACTTATAGAAAAGAAGAACACATTCTCAAATAATATGTCTGATAAGGGGTTAATATCCAAAATATATGAAGAACTCATATGACTTAATGGCAATACAAAACAAATCACAAATAATCCAATTTAAAAATGGGCAGAGGAACTGAATAGACAGTTTGTCAAAGAAGACATTCAAATGACTAACAGGTACATGAAAAAGTGCTCAATAATTATGAAGAAAATGCAAATCAAAGCTCCAATGAGCTTTCACTTCATACCTGCTAGAAATAAGAGCTAACAAGTATTTGTGAGGATGTGGAGAAAAGAGAACTCTTTTGCACCCTATATACATATACACGATATAATACTATTAACCCATGAGAAAAAAGGAAGCACTGCCATTTGGGACAACTTAGGTGAGTCCTGAGAGCACTGTGCTAAGTGAAATAAGTATGACAGAAAAAGACAAATACTGTATGCTCTTACTTTATGTACGTAAATGGAATCTTAAAAATCTAAACCCATAGAAACTGAGAGTATAGTAGTGGTTACCAAGGGTAATGTACATTATGATGATTCTAGCAAATAACAGTGTATTAGATACTTGAATGTTGCTAAGAGTAGATCTTAGATACTTTCATCATAAAAAAATGGTAATTATGTAAGCTAATGTGATGGTGGTAATCATTTTGCAATATATAAATGTATCAAATCAATATGTATGCTATAAACTTACACAATGTCATATATGTCGATTATATCTCAATAAAATTGGAAAAACACACAAAAACTGAATACAAAGAATGTAAATCCACCTTGATTTTAAGAACACACACACACACATTTCACCATTACCTATCTTTAGATGCTACAAAATGAAACAAAATAAAGCCTCCCAAGGGGTTTTGAAATTACTCTAGTAATTCAACATCAGGACACTGCAGAAGATAGCAAACCAATGTGGAGCACGTCTGTCCGGGGTAAAAGATAAGGAGACTAGTATTCCACCTTTTATTGACCATATGCTTCATGCCATAACCTTTAAATTCATAACTTCCTTTAATTCTCATGATGATCTTGAGAAGTAAGTAGTGTTGTTCTCAAGTGCTGAGGCTTAGAGAATTTCAGTGACTTGCACAATTTCACATTCTATTAAGTGGCAGAACCCAGGACCGTCTGACTCCAGAGTACTTGCTCTTCACACTACATTAAACTGCTGATGATGAGGAAAACACAGACAGAGAAGTCTCTCTTTCTCTGCTATTTGCATTTTTCTTGTCACAGTCTCCTTTTTTTATAGAAAAAATGTCTGCTTTCCTTAAAATTAATAACAGCCACTCACAAATGACAGAGTAAGCACATTTCATATGTGTACTTAAATCTCAAATGTGTATTTTTAAGGGAATATTCAGAATGAGTCAGTTATTTGTTATATGTACAAGATTCTCCTGTTACCTATAATCAAGACAGTTATTTGCTGCACACAGAGAATTATGCTGCTACCTATAATCAAGGCATAGAATTTTCAGCAAAATGATGAATGATTACATTTTGCAGTAAGACAATCCTGTGGGGTCTTATAGAACAGTCCTTAATTGTTTCTCTACTGTTTTACTTAAAATATTCTATCTTGAATTATAATGGTGTGTATGAA